CACTTGGGTTGCTTCCACTTCTTGGCTATTGTGAATAATGCTGCTACAAACATGGGTGTACAAATATCAGTTCAAGTACCTGCTTTCAATTACTTTGGGCATATGCCCAGAAGTAGAATTGCTAGATCATGTCTTAATTCTATGTTTACTTTTTTGAGGGACTGCCATACTGTTTTCAATAATTGTATTTTAAAGGTAGAATTATCAGGGATTACTGAGGGACTGGCATTATGAGTTTAGAGGAAGAAAAGAATTAAGAATGATCTCAGGACGTTTTATGTAAATGTAAAATCTCCCATTTTACAATGGAAAAATTATGGGGTCATATTCTGAGGTAAGGAATTTGCGGATAAGAGGGTTTTGGTGTTTGTGTGGGCTGTGGATGTATATCAAAGGTTCTCTTTAGGATATATTATATTTATCATGGCTGTTAGACATACAGATGGAAACATCAAGCAGGAAGTTTTATATATTAATCTAGAATTCCAGGGTCAGGGTTAGAGATAAACGTTTGATATATATATGTAAAATAATATTTAAAATCACAGCACTAAGTGAAACCACTTAAGTGGAGTGTAGTTGTATATAAGATTGAGCCCTGGAGAATCTCAACATTTAGGTTGAGACATGAGCAACATGAGCAAGAAGACATGAGCAAACGAGACTGAGGAGGGATCTCTGCGGTATGAGGAGAACCAGGAGAATGTGGCTCTTTGTAAGCCACAAGAACAATGTATGTCAGGAGGGAAGGTGTGATGAATCCACTGAGAAGCTAAGCATGATAAATAAAAGCGTGATAATTGGATTTGGCAAGCTGGAGGTCATCAATGTATTTGACAAGAGCAAGTTCAGGGAGTGGAGAAGTTGTAAACCGGGTTAGAATGGGTTGAGAAGAGAATGGCAATTGCTGTTTCTAATTCCTTACCTATTAACGAGTTAATCCAGAGGTGTTATTGTAAAAGATAACTGTAAAATGGGACAGTAAGTGGAGGTGGCTATGGGTTAAGGAAGGTATTTCCAAGAGACTCAGTCATAACAAGAACGGGAGAAGGAGATGGTGTAGGAGAAGGAAGGGATACTTATCTGAGGGAAATCCGTAAGAAGGTGAGAGGGGATGAGATCCAGAGCCCCTAGAAGAGTTGTCCTACTATAGGCCCTAGTATAGGACTCTTCATCCAGCATAACTGGAGGGAAGGCAATGAGTATGGATACAGAAATCAGGAGGTTGGTAACCTGGTGTAGATGAGTTCCCAGAAGATAGTTCTCTTACCTTGTGATCAGTCATCAACTGATCAACTGAGAGAAAGTGGGAGGGAGAGTGTAAGAGATGTGAGGAGCGATGCAAAAGTGTGCAGTGGTCGTCTTGGAGAAGGTCAGTATTGCAGTACTGCCTGGCATGTTGATGCTTATTTGAGATAGGTAGCCATGAATTTAAATGAGAATAGTTGATACTACTATGTCTTTTCTTCCAGCAAAGTTCAGGTGCTTGGCTGCAGGCAGGAAGAATTTGGGGAATTGGGTTTAACCAATGTTGGGGTTTTATTGAGTACAACTGAAGCGGGTGAAAGAACTAAGAATTTTACAAGGAATGTTAAAATGGACGATGGAAGGGAATTGAGGCTATGAGGGTTCTGATGTATAAAGAAAAAGTGACAGGGTCAGTAATTGGTGGTCTCAATGTGTTAGAGATGCTAGTTTGGAGTTGGATTGGATGGAAAGTCAAGCTGGGCAAGGGGTGGGCTGTAGTAACGACAAAGGAAGGATTAAGGAAATGGAAGTATGGAAAACAATTGAGGTGGGATAGATGAAAAGATTATTGGAGGTAAGTCAGGGACGTGAGAGGCCAGGGTGTCCATGGAGCATCCACATAGATGTTGAAATCACCAAGAATGATGATAACAAGTGAGAGGGAACGCATTAGCTAATAATAGGTAGGTTGTAAGAGACTTCCAAATATATTTTAACCAAAGAATTTGTTGAGAGTGGTAAGTGTACTTTTCCATCACCTTTACATTTGTAGATAAACTTTTAAGAGGTTCATACTTTAAAATGAGATTGATATATTTGGATCTGGACAATGCCTGGATGGTATTTCTGAACATGACTGTACATCAGAAGGTCCTAGAGGATTCTTTTGTTTCGGGACAGATGCCAGGGCCTATCCACAGAGAGTCTGATGCCATCGGACTGAGCTAAGTCAGAGAATCCATGTTGTTCAAAGCTCCTCAGGTGGTTCTGAACATCCAGGTTTCGTAACCACCAAGTTAAAGATAGATGTGGTAGATGTCCTTAAATGAAAGAAACATTTTAGAATAAGTTATTTCATATTTAGAATTATTTGAGAAGACTGAAAAGATAAAGAAGTGGTCCTGAATTTCAGAACTAGAAACTTAACTTGTTCTAGCAGGAATGTTAATATAGCACACTGGATTTATTTTCATTTTCTTTCTCCTGGTACGTGAATAAACAATGTTACCAGACTGCAGTTTACCCTGTAGTCACTTAAAAGTTATCTCATCACTTTTTGAAGAAACTATGTACTTAGAATCTATGCTTAAATACTTTATTTTTATGTTAAAAGTCCCCTTTTTTTTTTATGCTTGTCTTAGATTTTCCTCATATTCTCTCTCTGAATTTAGTAGTAAACGTGCCCTTCACCATTTTAAATCTTTTTTGGCATGGTTCCTTATGAACCTTTCTTATCTTCTTCATCCCAGAGGGAACTATGTCTCATGTATCTTTATATTTTCTGTATCCTCACACAGTGACTTATCAAAGTAGATAAATATTCAATGAATAAATGAATATAAGATTAAAGTAAGAAGTATCACCTTTAATGAATTGTTACCTCTCTGATCTCTGTATTATTCTTTAAGCCTTAAGGTAGTTTCCGGGAAAAGTAGTGGATATAATGATGTGTGGCTTTAATAAATAAGAAAAATGATGCCTAGGGATTTAATAGAAAGCTCATGAAGTGTCAAATCCACAGCAATTCATTTCCCCCAGCAAGCCCTCAGAAATTCAGGCCACAAAATCATTATGCTGATCTTGCCACACCCAAGTCTCTTCCCTCCTGGCAGGGCTCCTCGGGGCCTCCTCCGTGCCTGGTGAACACCAACTGACGCTCACTGGTTGCAGGTCTGAAAGAGGTGGCAAGAACTTAATGCCTGGTTTACCTCGAGCTTTAAACTGCAGCAGGTTTGATGGTGTACTGCAGTGCTCTGATATATACGGACTGGCCTTCTTGAGTGTACTAGAGATTCTCCCAGTATCATTTAGTCATTCATTTACTGCACACCAGGCACTGTGAGGCCGTGTGATGGAATATGACATTAATCAGGAAACCATCCCTACCATCAAGGAGTTGATGATCCAGTTGGAGAACAAATAAATGTAAGCCTGATAAATGTTATGATGGGAGAATTACACCATGCAGAGCACGTAGGAGGGGCCATTGACTCAGAATTGGAAAATCAGGGAAGGTTCCCTGTAGAAAGTAGTGTCTGAGCTGTGAGGTGAGGGATGAACCTGCATTGTCTGAGTGCAGTGTGAGAAGGCTCTGATTCAGGCAAAGGAACAGCAGAAGGTGAGGGGATGCAGGGAGCACTTGGGGGACCCCACGTGCTTCTGCGTGGCTGGAGCACAGGACCCAGATTATAACAGGGCCTTTATTTCATATGAGTAAGTTTGGGCTTGACAATTCCTGAAATAATGGGATCCATCAAAGGGTTTGGGGCAAAGTCTGCAATATTGAGAGAGAGTTTAGCCATAGAAACATGCAATTTGACACTCCCTAACACTTTATCTGTTTAGCAAATTATACCCTGCACCAGAGAAAAATTGCCACAGATACCAACGACCACTCTATGAATACAGAATTAATTTTAATAACCTAAAAATTAAATGAGAAGATATTCAAAGCTACTGAGACTACCCATACATCTGCATGTTGGGTGTGTGTGGCATACACTTGGTTCTGTTTGTAGGTAAAGGGCTTGTTATTCATTAATATTTTCAAGAAAAGAGGACCCTGACAGTCTTAGTCTGTCAAAGACTAAGGTCACCTTATTCTATCAACATAAAAGTCACTTGACTAGGCTGAAAATGTGTTCCTAAAACCTGTTGCAGAATTTCTTCCCCAATGGCGTCTGTGAATATAGGTTGAAGGACTTTAATGGTCCATTAGGGAAGGGCAGTCAAAACTAGAGAGTGGAGGAGCGAGGGCTGTTGTAAACGACAGTGCTGTTCTCTGATTGAGGAGTACTGCTCATAATCATATTCCTTTCACAAGGACCTTGAAAACTCTATAGGCATTCCTCTAAGTATTTACCATCAAACGACTCCCCTCATTGGAAGAGGGTGGGTTTTGTTCCCTCCAATGGATTTAAGGATCTCACAAATGCATGCAAGACTGGTCTAAATCCTTTAATTACCCTAGGGATATTTATTAAGTAACTAGAGGCATTATAGCATCATCCCAAAAAGGATTCTAATCTCTGCAAGTTTAAAATATAATCACATTATAGGCCTTTTTGTTTCTCATTTTACAGTCTTTAAGTTCACTTCATCTGTGTAACTCTAGAGTTACACAGACAAAAATGATGACTAGTACACTGCTTTATGATCATTTAAATGCTGTAGATCCTTTGGAGCAATACTTCCATGCTTGCATATAATATGCTATAGAAATTAAGAGTCTGAGCTATTGAATGAGAGAGACCCAGCTTCAGAGCCCTGTTCTTCCATTTACTAGCTCTGTGACTTTGGGTTAAGTTACTTAACCTCCTTAACCCTCAGCTTTCTGATCTAGAAATAGGGGTATTAATGGTAACCGTCTCGTAGATTCACTGTGCGAGTTGAATGCGATTGTGAGTGATGAGGGGCTAGTGCATTGCTCCAACTCTAGTAGCATTCTTGAGCGTTTTTGCCTTCATCGTTTAGTTATGTTGATTTGTTTGTTTTATTATGAGCAACTTTCTCTCTTCTTTTTACTCCCCTAGGGATATGAAGCCTGACAACATTTTGCTTGATGAACGTGGTAAGTAAATGATTGTTTTCAATCAACTACATGACATGCATGTAGAACAAGTTGATTATCCCTAGCAGAGGAGTATTATGCATGGAAAAGGTGTCTTGCTTGATTCAGTTGAGTTATATGTACAAACTCCATTTTATGGGTGGGAGGGACGTGATGGGGGAACTTTATTACTTATAGCAGTGGCATAGTGCACCAATATACCTTTAAATAACATTGAATTTACATAAAGTGTAGGGCATTCTCTTTTCAATTTTCTTCCACTCCTACTGATTTCTTCAAGAAAACCATCACAATCTTTTGGTGCTTTTTGCCTTAATATCTTTATAACAATCATCTCCCTTTCATCATAAAGCCAGAACAGGCCTCAAGCTTAGAGCATTTGGCAGGGACTAGTGTCTACCTAGAAATTAGTGACATCATTTTGTTCTCATTGTGTCTACTTTCATGCTTTCCTTCTTATGAAGGCGAATTGGTTTTACGTTTGCAGAAGAGATATCAAGTTTTCTTTTCAGAGTCTTCAGTTTAAAAAAATCAGTCAGTTTAAAGAAAAATATAAAGTAGATAACAGTATGTGTGGTACCCAGATATGAAAGTGATGAAGGGATATGGCAATAATCATGAAGGTGATAAACAAATACCTGAAGTTCAAGAAACACTGATTAAAGATATCCTGTGGAACAGTCATTGCCAACAATGATTAAATGTGTCTAATCTCTTCCTAATATTTATTTTAATGTCCATTTGGGTTTATTGGTGTATCAGAGCAGACATGTAGGACACACAGCCTGCATGTTATAAATGTTACAGTGGCAATAAGATCC